AAAAAGTTGATTGGAGAGGGGAAAACATATAAAGAAGTGCAGAAAATGATAGGCTGCTCAGCTAAAATGATTGTAAATACTTTAAAATGGCAACCAAAACCTGAAAGACGTGGAAGAAAGTGAAAAACTACCATTCGAATGGATAGAAGAATAGCCAAAATGGCAAGGACTCAGCCAACAATCAGCTCCAGGAAGATCAAAGAAGGTCTAAAGTTACCTGTGAGTACTGTTACAATTAGAAGACGTCTATGTGAAGCCAAGCTATCTGCAAGAAGCCCCCGCAAAGTCCCACTGTTGAAAAAAAGACGTGCTGAAGAGGTTACAATTTGCCAAAGAGCACATTGACTGGCCTAAAGAGAAATGGCGCAACATTTTGTGGACTGATGAAAGTAAGATTGTTCTTTTTGGGTCTAGTGGTCGGAGACAGTTTGTCAGACGACCCCCAAACACTGAATTCAAGCCACAGTACACTGTGAAGACAGTGAAGCATGGTTGCGCAAGCATCATGATATGGGGATGTTTCTCATACTACGGTGTTGGGCCTATTTATCGCATACCAGGGATCATGGATCACTTTGAATACATCAGAATACTTGAAGAGGTCATGCTGCCTTATGCTGAAGAGGAAATGCCCTTGAAATGGGTGTTCCAACAAGACAACGACCCCAAACACACCAGTAAACGTGCAACATCTTGGTTCCAGACCAACAAGATTGACGTTATGGAGTGGCCAGCCCAATCCCCGGATCTTAATCCAATAGAAAACTTGTGGGGTGACATAACAAATGCAGTTTCTGAGGCAAAACCAAGAAACAGAGAAGAACTGTGGAATGTAGTCCAATCATCCTGGGCTGGAATACCTGTTCACAGGTGCCAGAAGTTGGTTGACTCCATGCAACACAGATGTACAGCAGTTCTCAGAAACAGTGCTTATACAACTAAATATTCATTAAGTGATTCAAAGGAAAGCAAAATCTTCAAACATTTTTCAGTTTATATAGTGAGTGTTTGAGTTTGTAAAGAAGAATACAAACACTGCTATTTTTTTGAACAGTCTAATATTCACTTTCCTTCACTTTTTTTAGAGGAACACAAATGTGATATATATTCATGTTTTGATTTGGAATAGAATGTGTAGTGTTCCCAATGCATTTGTGTGTATGGAAATAAAAGCTATTAGAAGAGATTTTGAGCTTTATTCACTTTTTCAACACACTGCTATTATTTTGAACACAACTGTGTATATATTTTTATATATATATATATATATATATATATACACACACACACACACACACACACCTTGTTCTCCTTTATTTAAGTGATGATATGCCCTCTCTTCTCAGCTGCATAAGGGGCAGGGGAGGAGACACAGCAGCACACAGGTCTTCCCAATGAATGTCTCTGCAGGGGATGTGTCAGCAGGAGTCTGATCAATGGAGGAGAGCACATCACAGCTAGAAAACTGACCACGCTTTGCCCTCATACCTAGTGTGGTCAGTGTATAATAAGAAAAGCAGAGGGACTGGCAGGAATTTCACACAAAGGAGGCAACATAAAGAGAACAGGATTCTTTTTTCATACAAGTACATGGTACAGAAAGCACATATTAGGAATAGGAAATGATGGGTTTACATATTCTTTAATTTGAATTTTTTTTGTTGAAATTGGTTATAGGTTGCATAAACAGTTGGCTAATATCCTGTGGCATAGAAAGAATTACAGCTGCAACCATTTTAACCTATAGGATGTCTGTTTTCAGACAAATACATAATGTTTTGGGGGTTTACAGTATATTTAGGCCTAAAATGTGCATTTTAACATGCATGCAAAATGATCAGCTCACTGGAAGTGACAAGGACACTGCATTTCTGGCAAGATCAGTTGGTATTTTCTGTACTTGTTGAAAATGTTCTAAGCCTAAAAAACAAAAATGAATCCAGCCACCACTGTTAAACTGCAGAATAATACATTTTAGTTTCTGGGTTTACATAAACTTACAATTGTTTCTGATCCAGGCTACATTCACAGTATATAGCTAGTACCCTGTGGAAAGGCAACTTTGCTGAAATGCATGCTTTGTGCAGAGCATTGGGGGTCTGTTTCTCCTTAATTATTTTCTAACAATAGTGTATGATCATTTATTTGTTGTGTATTCAGATATGTTATTATGGCATTATGTCTGCTTAACAAATTATTTAATGTAACAGTGCTAGCAAATGGCATTATCAACACGTCTTTTTTTTTTTTTCCCCACAATTCACACCCTGCCAGCTTTCCCTCATAGTTTTTACACTTCTTTATAGTGAAGATTAGGCAATCCCACCACATTCAACAATGCAATGTACTGTCCCTTGGGCACCTAATCAAAAGATGTAAACACTCCTTGCTTGAGGGTGTGCCTGTGTTTTGGAAATAACAATTTGAGTTGGTTCAGCTGGAAAATTGGGGCCATGCTTGATAATGCTACTGCAGAGAAAAAGGTACATGCAGACAACCTGTGTGCTTTGTTAGCACTGCCATATGTGTGCTGTAGTTATCTTGTCCCACCGTCCAGTTCTGTGTCAAAGAAGGCATGAACTGAGCATGTGCACTGTGCATGCACGTGCACTGTGCATGCACCATAGGCAGTGCACACAGAAACAAAGGTGCTAAGAGAAAGGAGAAAGATATTGGTGCAGACATGACATGCAAAGTATCTTCTGTCAAAAAGCTCTACCTGCAGTACATGCAATTTTTAGGGACATGTATATAAATATTTGTAAGGTTGTAGTCTATTATCCTGTAAATCTTAGTTGGTTCTTTATTTATATGTATGTATAATATTAAAGCAGGACGTTGTTATTCCAACACTTCCTGTACGCCCAGACTGTCATGGACACCAGTTAACTTCCAGTTTTTGTTTTTTTTTTTGGGGGGGGGTGTCAAAGCTTAAATTAAGACGCTGATTAGCTACCATGCACCGCTGCATTATATTTTGCACTCTCCACTTTTAGTAAATCCACCCCATGGTGTTACTGGACTAACAAAAAGGTGTAAGGAAGTACAAGGGAAAAAAAAGAGTTCAAGGAAGGTGGAGTTGAAAGGACTGGAGATCTGCTTTAAGATTGCATGCAGCAAAATCAAAGCTCATCAAAAAAGAAATAAAGGAAAACGGTTCTAGAGTGGTGTAAAGGCAAGGACATTTATAATAAAACAGTGAGTTAATTTCACCTATCTATAAATTGGGGTAATGTATTCAATTAGATTTTCACGTGATAATGCTGTAATGAAAAACTGTGAAATTCTGTAGAAATGTAATAACTGTGCCTTTCTTGAAACAGGTGAAATGAGAAAAAAGGGACAAAGGAGCAAAACTGTATTTCATCCCTTTACAAAATAGGCCTTTAGACAAAATTGAAGATTTCATTAACATTCCAAAGTATTGTGTGCTTATGTTTTCAGTTCATTGCCAAGCATCCAACTAAGGAACGCTTGAAGTTTTAGTAAAGTTAAATTCAAGAGACATAAAAGCAATGGAAAGAAGAGAGTACATGATTAGAGCAATTCCTGATACTGACACTGGCTGTGAATGGTATTTAATTAATGTTCAGAAATGTGTCTTGTTTTATTAAACTAGTTGTAGCTCTATAATAAGTATTGCGTGTGACAAGTGATGCCACAAACATGTCCTTCAGATGTGTTTGCCAGCCTTGTTTCAATGACTTTTGGGTAAAAAAAAAAAAGAGAAATCATACTTTGTCAGTGTACAATATGTAGTACAATGGCACATTTATAGACAGACATATATTTGTATGTGGGTATATTAGTGTAACTTATCATAAAAACACAATTATTTCATATCACTTTAGAATTTCCTTAGAATATATAAAATGGCTTTTATAGTATAAAAGTGTTGCTGGGTATTTTGATAAGAAAGGCAATGCTGTACGGAAGTTAAAGAGATCTGTTGTCCGTGCACAGGGAAGTTTAATAGCAGTTTTAATGACTCTCAACCAGCTTTTTATGATGCAATAAAGAAAATCTGCCACCAATTGAGTTTATATATTTATATAACATATGTTTGATCATTGTTACTGTTAAATCTGTTTAAAAAGTTTAGAACATTGTCCATATCTATGGCTAATAATACAGTTTTTTGCTGTGGGTAGACTCCAAGACATTTTTGTCAGGCCTCCTATGTATCTTTCACCCATGTTCTCGTTTAACCTGGGAGAGACATAAGAGCTTTCTGTATCCAGCAGTTGATTATTCCTTACCTTTTGCTCCAAAAGTTGGATGTACAGTATCACTACCCCTTTATTATTTTGGCATAAGATCTGGTCATAATAGTGATAAGTGATGGACAGTTTACATAGCAGAAAATCATGACCTATGAGTAATTATTACTGATACCGAACATAACAAAAATGAAATGGCTAACCTGGAATTATCATTCTTATTTTTAACCACTTCCAGTCTGGACACTTTTACCCCCTTCCTGACCAGGGCAATTTTCAGCTTTCAGCGCTATCACACTTTGACAATTGCGCGGTCATGCAACACTGTACCCAAATTAATTTTTTACCATTTTTTGAGACCGATAAAGCTTTATTTTGGTGGTATTTATTCACCGCTGGGATTTTTTTTTTTTTGCTATGTAAATGAAAAAATGGGGGGGTTTTATAATATTTTGCAAATAAATAATATTTCATCATAAATCAAAAATTTATATTCCGTTATCTTTTTAGTAAAAAAAAAAAATCCAAATTAGTTTATAACCAAAAATTATAATTTTTAAACTTTTTTTTTACATTTTTATTTTTTTTTATATTTTTTTATTTTTATTTTTTACATGCTGTCACCCTATCAGTACAGTGTCGCCATGGTGACACTGTACTACTTGTGGGGGGTGATGAAGATTTTTTTTTTTTTTTTTACACTGATTGCTTTTACACCCATATAGGATATAAAAACAATCATTTCTCTTTCTCTGTCTGCATTCTTGCAGTCATTGAGAGGTACTGAGTGAGCTGTGATTGGTCACAGCTTGTCACATGGTACAAGGCTGTTGTGAATATCCTTGTATCATGTGATCTCGGTGATCATTCACAGATTTCACACGTAGTAAGCAATGATGTCACAAGTGACATCTTGCTTACTACTTTGCATGTGATCACGATCGGTGTTGATCACTGTGTCCGATCGGTGAGTGTCCAGATCGCGGTGCTGCGTGCTCCCAGGGAGCGGCACAAGCAGGGTGCGGGGAGGCCGTTTATAAACGGCCACCCGACCCTGCACTGCCACCGTCCGGCCGTTTATATACAACGGCCGGTCGGGAAGTGGTTAAATGACTTTTGCACATGTTGAATGTTTTCTGCATAGACAATATATAGAAAATTTAGAAACAACTGTCAACAACCACACTGGGAAAACTCTCATGCGAATCTTAGAAGATAGCAATAGAAGTTTTTGGCACCAGTTCTGCTTTCCTTTCCCCAGAAATAACATTAGCAAGCAAGTGCTAAGTGTGGCACTATGACATGGATGGAGCAGAGGAAAGTTCAGGCAATTAAAATTAATAGGTGTCAGCATTCATGACACTTCGAGATCCAGCCTTCACTTTGACAAAAGAAGATATTTTTAAGACACCATTTTCTGATAAATATGCATACTGGAAACAATTCCTAAATGATTTAAGCTATTTATATGATAGAAAACATGTATACATTACTGACATTTTACACCTGAGTGTCAGTAATCACTACTATTATCTTTGTGTTTAATAGAAATAATCCTGATTTTATGATTTGGTTCCTTAAAAAAAAAAAAAATTGATACTGGATATTTTTTAGGGGGTTGTGGTTGAACCGTGCTGCTTTGACAGTGTTATATAGTTGTATATATTAAAAAGCACATGTGAAAATGTCTGCATAGACCCTACAGCAAAATCTTTAACATGTTCCTTGTATAGCCAATATTATTTACTGTTTTCTTTCCATAAGAGTTTATGTAAATAAGCTGAGCATGATTGTTACTTTTACAAATAAGGATTAAAAAAATATGATTTGAGCATTCACTACACTAAAATCCCAAGCATCCGTGCCCAGTTCTGGACTACAGAACATCTTTTTCTCATCTCTATAATATAAGATAGAGGTGTTCTGTAGTCCAGAAGTAAGAAGAGGTAGAGTAGTTTGCTCAAAGAGAAAGATGAGTTCTGTGCTGACCCAACATATCCGTCTCTATCTTCCCTATGCTACCTTTTATGTAGATTCCATGGGAAAAGCAAAGGGTAATAGTGTCACTTGAGTGACCGTTCTGAGTCTGCTGGAGTGCTGACATCACTCCCAAGACTGCAGCACTTTGGGATATGTACACAAGGGTAACTTACCTTGTTCCCCATTCCATTCATCTTCACTTTGCGGCCTTGCCTGGTGCTGTGCTGCACATTATTTTTAGCAAAAATGTCCCCACCAGCTTCTCTTCAAAGCACTCACCCATGGCTTTTCTTGGCAGCCTAATTCATCCTGTGGATGAGCTGTATTCTAGCCAAACCATAGGAATGAATAAGGCCATGGCATGTGTGCACTCTTTGAAAATGGGCCAGTGGGGACATTCTACTAGAAAGGTTGTATAATGATGGGCAGGGCCGCACACTGAAGGTTGCTGGCATGGGGATCAAGCTACCCATTTAACATAGGCGTCTGTAATACGCTGGGAGGGCAATTATGTAAAGAACAAGTTAGCTAAGGGTGAACTTGTATTTTAAAAGGAAGCTAGTGCATAGTTTAATGAGAATTGCAAAGTATGCCTACAAATTGTATGATTTTTAACATTTTGCTTTATTTTAATGTAATTTTTCTATGATAGTATTGGTTTGATCATCAGAAATATTTGTAGAAATTTCTGGCTTTTGATTGTTTCCTTGCCCACTGACTTTGTGCAGTTAGAATATCTTGGATCTTTACATGGAACTGTGTCTACTCTGAAAATCAATGCCACTGATTGTTTTACTTATCTAACTATTGCTTATAATATTTTTTCTAGCAAAAACCTGTGTGGCCTTTTGTTGACACTCAAGTATCTTTCTGACAGTTTGCAGGTTTGTAGTTACTTTGGAAAGACTTTTGATAGTTGGAATGAAAATTACTCAGTGGTACTCATGCAACACTGTACCAAAATGAATTTTATATAATTTTTTAAGCATACAGAGCTTTCTTTTGATGGTCTTTATTAAGCATGGTTTTTGGACACGCCCTTTTTGAAAAGTTGGTGCCCAAGGTGATCTCTTGGGGTTTTTTTTTTGGAAATTAAGAAACATGCTAGTACTGAGGTGGTTAAAACATGGAGCTTGATAATGTTGCACCAGATAAAGCACAATACAATGCATATAAAGAGGGAGGAGAAGAAGGTGAAGGCTTTAATGTACAAGTTACATACAGTGGGAGAAAAGTGATAATGGGGTTTATGTGCAGGACAAGGGAGGTGAATAGTTATTAAACAAGTCAATGAAGATAAAGGCTGAAGATCAGATGTATAGAAGGGGAAGGTGGATGAAAGGGTTAAAAAAGAGTTACTTGAACGTGGTGCTGCCATGTTCTGTCTTTTGCTCTGGAGTTAGTGAATGATTTACACATTCATTACTTTCTCAGTGTTTCTGAACCAAACCATCTAAAATTGGCTCACCTCACTGCCACCCAACAGGTATTTCTGTAGTGCCATTTTGTAAATGACACTGCAGAAATACATGTGTACCACTTCACCATTACTAGACCCACGCAGTAGGCAAGTGGTTAAATAAATGCACCACATTGACCTTGCACTGGTACCAAGTAAGTCATTAAAACGTCTAAAAAAATTAAATACAATGACTTTAACACAAAAAAAACTCAGCTTTTTCAGGACGTTTGGGTATAAGCTATCTGGTTCAGGTGTTTTAACTTTATTTTACCCAGTTGATTCTATATCATATAGGTTTTGGGTCATTGTGGCTTATTTGAGGCTGTGGCACCACCATCTCTATTAGGCCTCTTTCACACCATACATGCAGAAAAACTGATGGAAACTGATGCTCAGATTTCACTTGCGGAGACAACAGTTTCCATCAATTTTCATGCGTGCTACAATGAGTTTTACACACTTTGCAGATTCCTGAGCAAAAAAAAAAGCTGCATGTGATACTAGTGTTATGGTGTGAACAGGACACATAGAGAACAATTGATTTTGTTGTGCCCTTTCAGAACGCATGCAGAAAAACTGATGTACCTGCACCAGAGTGTAAACAAGCCCTTACGGATTTGAGTGCTACCATATATTTATTTGTACACACATAATTAAAGAAGGTATTTAATACATGTGCCTTCTCTTTGTGCCCAGTCATCAACACTGAGTTAGCTTATAAGGGGCCTACATGCTCAGACCTGATTTTTTGATGATAGGGTTTCCACATTTTTATGTTTTTTAAAAGCCCTTTTCTTTTTTCTTCTTTTTTTATAAGGTTTTTTGGATACGAAAATGAAGCCAAGAATCAGCAATGCCAATTAAATCATAGTGTGTTTCATGCAACAAAGGTTCTAACTCCTAATTTGCTTGTCAGACTTGTGGCATTGGTGAAGAAACACTTTAAGCTATATTATATTATCTGTTTTTTTTTTAATACAAGGGTAGTGTATGTGGTTGTTGATATAGAATCTCCTGATCAGCTGCCATAGGCCTCCCCCATCTTCCTCCATTCAACTCTCCATTAGTGTTTCACCCTTTTTGACTTATCTGCTCCATTATATTTTACCTCTGCCTCACTCCCCACTCAGTCCTAGTTCCAATATTCCTCCAACCTTCCCATAAATCTCTCCGTTAGCACAGCTGGCCCCCTTCCATTTACAGTAGGTGAAAAACATCTTTAGTATATAGAATGTACCTAAGAAACCTCAGCCCAGTGTGCTCTATAAACCCAAATGTTTACCTTTTATACAAGGTCTTTAACCATGTGTTTAGCTCTTTAATGCCCTGCTGTATTTCCTCTGTTGTGCATGGCACAGGCAATATTACAGCGTATATAACCTTGGAGGTTATATATTCTGTTATGATTATATGGTCTTCCTGGTACTGTTGAATAGGTTCCATATCTTACCACATCATTTAAAGGCTTCTGGTTGCATTTGTAAAACAGAATACTTAAACCCATTTGATTGTCGGTCTTATGTTCATACTATAAAAGTCACATTAACAACTTTGCTTTCACTGATTTTGTCTTATTGTGTTGCCCTGTTTGCAGGACCTTAATATATGAAATATAATGCAAATAGTGCTACTATTTGTATCTTTAACATTATATGGAGCAGTTTGATGTCAAGCTGCTATAGACGATTCAAACCATGTATAATCAGGTTTGATTAATCAGCTTGGGTACAACCAGCCTGTTGGATTTTACATGTGATTGTAAAATCACATGTAAAATCCGCCAGGAGAACACAATGGCTCCTTGGGAGGGATGCCCCCATCACTAACCCGTGGTTGCAGGAAAGAAAATCACTCTATGGCTGGCTTTAAAGTGATGCATTTATGTCATACATTCTGGAAGTTTGTCCTCGTAGATGGTGCTATTTTTTTTAATTTAGTATTAGTTGATGCAGTCATCTGTATATTATACATTTTAATGGCTTTCCATTGACCGGAGAAGCTCAGGAATTGAGTCATTGCATTGTGTATTGTTTTCTTAATTATTGCTTTAGTAGTTTCCTAATGTGTGATTATGTTCAGGTCTTTGCTCTGCAAGTCCCTAAAAGTGACAGCTCATGGAATAATTGTTCTCCCAGCACCTTGATTTATGGGTTCATTGTTTTTTTTTACTGTTTCCTTAGCAACCAGCACACATCTTTCATACTTATTTTCTAAGCATTCACAATATGCAGTACTGAAGCACATCAATTAAAGTACCACAAAAGAGTGTATTCAGACAGTAACTCTAAATTTTAAGAGTTGACTTTTATTTCTCAACTACAAGCTTTTTTTCCTCTTTTTATGAAACTAAAATGCAGGAAAATAATATAAACAACAATCAAACACATCAGCAGACCACAAGGTAAATGGATCATAAAATTAAATTGTTGCTTCAAAAGATATACTTCAGCATTTTTGCAAGATGCATCATTTTAAATACAGTGTTTCTTTCAGCAGATAGATTTCTGGTTCTGACTACTTTCTTGTCAACTATACATTAATGTGGTAATCACGTCAGAACACAATTGTACTTCTGTGTTATAAAGCATGTATACTTA